AACTCTATGTATAAAGTGGCTGTAGCGAGCATTCATCCACTGTAACCCAGTTCCTTTCTTTTCCTGGAGCATCGAGTTAGCTTTTTTGGTGATTCCTTGTTTATTAAGCCAGATTTAACTGTATTCGTATGAGAGGATGAAGTGCTTAGCTTGGTTCACGAAGCGCATGCAACCAGGGCTCAAATGTGAGCATCAAAAGGTCTCGAAAACTCCTCAAGCAGCCACTTGAGGCTGGTTTCAAAATATGATCCTTACCCATAGATTACCAAACTAAAATGACTACCAAGAGTCAAAGAAAAAGGCACAAAGTTATACTGGTGCTTTCCTTTTACCTCGAACGTTGGAGCTGAAAATGACGTCATACCCAAGTTGACAGCGTTCCTGTAGCAGTAGTCAGAAAAACTGTCGTCCGTTTGCTCCCTAGCAAGTTAGCCTTTCAGTTTTCACTGGAATATAACACAAACACTTTTTTCCCTCCCCCCATTAAAAACACTGCTGTAGCGCATTCATGAATACACCCTGGTTTAGTTTCGGTATGGCTTATTTAGTGAGTCACAAACATCTAACAGTGATAATGCAGACTACAAATTATTTAACTTGATCTTTTACTGATGGACATTAAACAATTCTATTTTTCAGGAATGAAGGATAAAACTGCATATTAACCCCTGAAGTCAGGACCTGACCTTGTGCTAAGGTAAATGGATCTTCACACAGGGCTGCAATAGCATAAAGCAAATGTAAAGATTGACCTGCAGTCAGGCAGCCGCCATTAATAAGCAGCTGAAAGTGAAATCTGCATATTTCAATATCTCATCTAACATGTGCAGGCTGAACCTCTTATGATGGCACAATCAAACTGAACATTTTACTATGACTCTGTCTGTGGTTTTTTTTTTTTTTTTAATATTTATCAATTCACATACAATGAATAAATATCAGATTTTCAGTTTTTTTAATAACATTATTATCATCTGCTCAACCAACAAGATGATTAATACCCCCCACTACTGGCCATGAGTCAGCATGTATCATATGTTCATGCTCAAAAAAATGCTAAAACTAGGAGAAATCAGGTTTGGGTCACAACTGAATGGACATATGGACAGAATGATACTGAGTCAGGGGGGGGATGAACATTTGGCTCAAGCTACACAACCTGATGAATATTAGGGGCCCTGGACAAGCCTTCTTGCTCAGTGACCTAATGTACCCAGAACAGCTGTGTGAGGCTGCTTAGCAGTTAGGCCTGGATGACAAGTCATTGCTCAGCTTGATATATGAACTATTACATGTGAAACAGAATGGTATGGTGGTGGTAGTGGTGGTTGTGTGTGTGTGTGTGTGTGTGTGTGTCTGTACTTGGGTTAATATGTTCTTATCATGCGTGTTTAGGGAGTCGAGCTTTTGGTCAAAGGCAGCTAAAAGTTATTAAAATATTGGTCTTTGCAGCTCTTGCCGATAAGAAAAACACTAAAGCAACTTAAGGCACAATTATATGAAAAATATGTTATGTATGTGGGGGTAACTGGATACATGTACAAATGGAAATATCTAAAGTCCATGAGTATCTTTATTTCACCAGTTTCTCACTTTCTCATCAACACTGACACTTTTCAGACAGGCAGACTGACCTTCCTGCAGCAAGCACAAAAGTAACACAACACAAAAGTAAAAATTTGCCTTCAGAAAACAGAACCAAGGCCTGACATTTATTACAGAAATTTTAACAGATACGATCAGGTACAGGTACGTTGTGCTTCATTTACATTTACAAAGATGCAGAGTGAGAACACAGGTCCAAATTAAGTCATTTTTACAAACTTGAGTCAGAATAACAAAACAATTCAACTGCTCTAAGAACAGCGTTAGATACGTTGGGAAACATATATTGCAGCTTTGCAGCCTAACTGTATTGCATTTTTTAATAGCCAGTATCCAGGTACCTAAAACACACACACACAAAACACACATTTAGGCAGCAGTACTTTCAACAACTTAAAAATTGTAAAGACAGTTAAATACTCTAATGAAGCAATATTTATTTATTCCTGTGTGGAGTCATTTTTCTAATTGATATAAAATTAGTTTTCGGTGCTGTCAACAAAGCAAAGGTGGCTATTTTAAGGAATCTAAAAAATAAGACATATAAGAGTTATTTATCATTTTTTTCTCTGACACATAATTCCATAGATCTTGCTTCATATATTTGCTGTCTTCAGCATATATCTATAATGTAGAAAGTAATAAAAATAAAGAAAAAAAAAAAAAACATTGAATGAGAAGGTGTGTCCAAAGTTTTGACTGGCAGTGTGTATATATTACATCTAAAGACATAAAATACACTTACATTTTCAGCATCGTGCGCCAGTCCTGTATCATGATGTTCCATCTCATCATCTCTAAATTCCTTTATCACCTGTTAAATATATTCATGATAAAACAACTTAATTTAATTAATTAATTACATTTCACTGCACAAAATTCTCAAGCTATTTGGCCTTGAGTTGGTTACATTAAACCCATTTTCTTTTCAAAATAACTGCAAATAACTGAGTCATGAAAAATTTTATACACTGTGGTCAGAAAATGTGTATCTAATAAGAACTGCTTTGTGCTGAAAAGTGCTTTGTCCCCATCTGGAAAACATCCAGAGAGGTAGAGTCACTCTTGACAGTATATATGAAAAAGCCACTGGTGAAATGCCAATTTTATTCCATGTGCTATGATCTGTGAAGCTGCGTTGGTGTGTGGAACTTGTCCAAATTAGAAGTTAAATAAACTTCAACCTGCATCAGTGCGCAGTAACAAATGTCAGTAGCCATTAAGTGATGTAATTGTGTAATGGCGAAAGCACTGAAGTCAAAAATGTCAAAAATCATGCTGCATAGCCTTGGAGAAATTGCCTATAAAACTGTAAAACTCTCCAAGTAAACCTGAACTGTACTGAACTGCTTAGATAAACAGAAAAAATTCCACCCACGAATAGATTTAACACTGAAAGTCAACAGAGATCCAGGAAGAGAACAAGGCTGTGCCAGAGGTTTGACTGTGGTTGGCTTACATGCAAAAAAGAAAAAAAAAAAAGAAAATGATCCAGCTGCTAGGATTGCACTAAACAATAAATGAGTGAAACAATCAACAAAGACAGTTGTAATTTTTTAATAAATGCAATTAGAAATATGCACAAGCTAACTATAAAAGACCGAGACCATTTCAGACTCATATTGGCATTAATGGGATACAGACATTATTGAATGAAATTTTCCTCAAACAAAATTTAAGGTGGCTTTATTTATTTGCTGGTTAGATAACTCTTACTTAAATGTAGTAATATTAGTAAAAGGCGATTAGCGATTAGGTACAAAGCTGTATTAACTAGCTTGAAACTGAGTTTAATTGATTAATTATTATTTAGTGTGGCTTGTAACAATCACCATAATCAAAAACATTCAACATTATTTCCATTTTGGTATGCTAGACTCTAATCTCTTTTTTTTGGAGGGGCAGGTGCCTAATATTATCGCCCTTCGGCTCCTCTTTAGACTCAGCTGTTGCCACAATCTCATAATGAACAATATGAATTTCATGCACAGTAAAGGGCAACCACAGAGCAGAGCTACGGAGATAAGAGACTCACTTGTAAGAGTTCAGTGTATCTCTCTGGGTCCTTCTCCATCAGAGTTCTTATCTGGCTGTTATAGTGTTCAGTGATACTCTCTTCCACTGCCACAGTACAGGCCATGGCCCCTTCTTTTCCCAGTAATGCAGATGATGCCCCTTCAAAAGAGAGAGATACATGCTGTTAACATTTAATGAAGAGATTTCCTACTGCTTACTGTTTATACACTTGTTAATGACACGTCAGGGAGCCATTGTGAAATTCAATAATCATTACTCTTTGATGCATTTGTTTATCTTCTCAGCAAAATTATGTCTTTATGTGTTGTACCAACCTAATACAAACCCAGCAATATTCCAGAAAGGTAACAGTGCTGTGGGGCGAACTCTGTTCTCAGCAAGAATTTCATTGAATTTCTCAAGGTGTTTCTTTTCTTGATCCCACATTTCCTGTAGGAAAAAAAGCGCAAAGTGTCAAAATTTAGGGACATATACTGATTAGGGCTGTTCGATATAACGATATATGTCAGATGACGATATAAAAACGTCTATCGTTTCATTTTACGCTATCGTTTGATTCCTGGTGTTGCAAAATAAATTGTTTATGCAAAATAAATTGTTTATGGCAATATTTTTCCATCGTTTTGATGGTCACTGTAGTGGCTATATTAATTTCTTAAAGTTCTCTC